ACCCATGCTGCAAATGTGCAGACGTGTTCTAGGTAGTTGCCATTGGAATCCCTGGTTCACTGGTAGAGAATGCATCATTTCACACATGCGCAAGGCCACATGTTTAGGTTTGGCGTCAAGACTAATACTCTGCTCACAAGTTTCTATACGATCTGATGTACAAGTAGTAAGACCAAATAAATGCCACCATCACATTCATAAAAGAAATAAAGATTCTTTCTCTAGGCATTTAGCAAATGATTTTTTTTGAAGGAGATGCACATGAAGTGATTAACTGTCGAATGCAAACTACAAAGCATGCTTTTTACAAAATGACATAATCTAGTGTGACCATAGGTTCCTATTATTACTAACATTACTGAAAGAATAAATAGACCTTTGCCTTGTACAAATTAAGACAGAGTAATAAATAGCACACATTTTCTTTCAGTGAGAGCAAAAATACATGAAGTTGCCTACTAAAAATTTGTAGAATCATAGAATCATAGAATGGCCTAGGCTGGAAGGGACCTTAGAGATCATCTAGTCCAACCTCCCTGTTATGGGCAGAACACTAGCAATGCTGTGTTTTTTTAAAAAGAACATAAAGATACTTTCAGGTAGGGAATGGTGTGATACTGAGGATATAAGCACAGCTAGCATTACGAGCAGTATATTGTATCCTCAAAGTAAGTTCAGCTTACACATCCAGTATATCTGCTCGTGGAACCTGGCTACATGGTTTTTCTCCAAGCATAAGTAAAGGGAGACAGAGGATTAAAGTGTCATTTCATTGAGTACACATTCGGGACAGATCTCTTTAAAAAGGAGCAGAGTTTTTGAAAGTAAGTTCTCAAATTAGGCAGTGCTCCTTAGTTTACTAGTTCTCTTCATTTTTAGCTGCTCATGTGCCTCCATCCTTTAAACTTCAGCACATTCCCCCACAACTAGACAGAAGAGTTGAATGAATAAAATGGGACTGCACAAGATGACAAACTTTATTTATGATCTTTTTCAGAGCACCAAGAGGTCCTTTACTACTCTCACACCTTTTGGGGTCAGAAAATATTCGTCATCATATTTTAGACTTTAAGGAATTATTTATAGAGCACATTAAAGTCCTGATAATAAATACATTGTGTAAACATTAGACAGCATTGTTGTCCCATTTCACACTAAACTAGCAAACTTCTTTCTCATCATAATTCAAAAATGGCAATCCAGAATACTTTGCTTTGGCAGTAAAAAACAGTAATAATCAACAATGGACACAAATATCTTCTTACTAGCAGCAGAGTCTCTTTCTTCTACAGCAAAAGTAGGGAAGAAGTTCTAGGGCATAGCTGAAAAACTCTTAAAGAGATTGAAGCTAGGACCACTGGCCTAATATGAAAGGGAGGAGCAAAGTTGTTTCTAAGGGAGAGGGAAATAAATAAAGGATGACACAAGAGCTACAGCTCAGCTTTCCAAACTACCTGCTAGTACAATCCAAGGGCAAAAATCACAGAATCACAGAATTGTTGGGGCGGGAAAAGACCTCCGAGATCATCAAGTCCAGCGTATAACTCAACAACACCACAAAACGTCCCAGGATGACTCAAAACAGCCAGGAACTCCAGGCATCCTGGAAGCACAGGCCTGGGAATTACTCCTGAACCACAGGGTGCTCAAGTTGGCCAGATACTAAGAGGATGAACCGTGGAAGAGCAGAGTTGGGCCAGCGATACAGAGTCAGGAGGCTGTTGCAGGCGCCACATGTTCATGGCGCCAAGCACCCCGGCTGCAGGGCAGTCACTGGCTGCCTGAAGCAATGCAACAGGAAGAGGCCAAAATCAAGTATTTGAATGCAGAACAGTCTCCTGCCCCAGGCAGTAAAGATCGGTATCGCTCTGGGCTACTTATGTATGACCCAAGCCCCGATTACAGTTGGGAGTGTTATGCTGGAGGCCTTCCCATCCATCAGTCACACAGATTGCAATTTTCGAGCACCACAGTACCCTTGAAGAATGTGTCTTCTGCTGCAGGCCAGGAGAGCTCTCCCAACTTCTTTTAACTGCAAGTCAAACACAATAGGTCAAGCAGGGCTTCGGCATGGTAAAGCAGAGCATAGGTGAACGTTAAGATATCTAAATATACAATTAATTTGTGACCCGGCTTAGTGACAGCATCCACGTTTTTCCTTTTGCACATGGGCAAGGTTAACCCTTGAAATGCTGACTTCCAAACTGCTTCAGTCTGACTGAGAACCTGATGCTGCTGCAGAGTTCCCTGAAAAGGCCTGATCAGGATACTTCTTCACTTTTTTAGCTTCATGAACACTCCATACCTTTGTATACTTAAAAAAAAGAATAAAAATGTATTTATTTATGCATATCTATATATACACACACATACACACATTATCTTTAATCTAGCCTAAATAGTAATTTTAGAGTTGAAACATCCTCTCAATGGGCAAAACCCATCAATTTTAGTCACTGGTTTTCAAGCTTACATTAGAATTCTGGCACTCATCTTCTTAGAAAGAGTGACTGCCAACATCATGCACAAAGTAACCCAAACGTAAAAAAGAAAACTCAATGTTTACTTCCTGATGTCTTATTGTCTGTAGAAATTAATTTCACTTAAAATCATCATTACCAAGAAGTTAGCCAGGCTCAGGATGAATGTATTTCTCATATGGTCTTCTCCGAGAGCTGCTGGTTTGGTTGGCAAATACTTGAATTTCATCCTCAATTTTTGTTCTGTATTGACCTAAATGAGTTTTATATATTCGAAGACGTGCTTAGCTGTCACAGACTACAGTCTCCTATGACATATGCAAGAGATCATCTTAGTAATTCTTACAGCTAAAAATATGATCATGAAATGCCAAAGTTAAGAAAAGTATATTTATTTGATTCTCCTTTTTGTTTGATGACATAGTACATTTCATTAACAGTAGCAGAGAAAAGAACAATTTTGAATCTATGCCAGATAGAACCTAACAGGGAAAGGTAAACACATGAAGTGGTAAGTGACACCTTTGACCAGATTTAGCAGCTATTTCCATAATGCACTCAACACCACACTTCTGAAATCAACAAAGCAAACTCATTCTTTTGAGGCTTCTGAAGCCCTCCCTACATTGGTGTACCTTTTCCATATTTAGTTGCGAGAAATACACAATTCTGCATATATAAAGTTACCAAATGTATAAACTAAAAACAAAACAAAAACCCACAAACCCCACACATGAAATATTAAAGCCCCAATCTTTACTGTCAGAACAGAGAAGCAGCTCTTTCGTCATCAGATATGCTTCACAAAAGCTCACACACTTCTCATATACACAGTCTACTCAGAACAAATTTTTTTTTCCCCCAAACTGTTTTTCTTATGTATATATATATATACACATATATATATATGAATCACTATGAAAAAGGAAAGAGGAAAGTTGGAAAGTGGATAGGGGAAGGAGTGTGGTTTACTCTTAGGATTCTGGACTTCAGGGTAGTATTTATTCCCACTGTGCAGCACAGTTGCCTCTGAAGTGGAAACTATTCATGTCCATTAGTACCTTGATGTATGGAACCTCCTCTGAACAATTTTTTCCCAAATGGGAAGTTACTTGACAGAACATTAAGGGGCTTTCCATCAGAAAGATTAAAATAAAAAAAGAAAAAACTCCTAATCTCAGTTAAAAATAACCACTTCCAGAAAATGAAGGTACAGCTAGTTCCCAGTTAAGGTTGTGAACTTTCACAAAGGAAGCTTCTCTGATTTGCTAGGCTACGGTATGATACCCTCTTACTCCCTCCATTCACAAGTGTTTTGCATGGACAACTCATTCTGAAGAGTAATACATGCTTAAAAGGAAGAGTAATTTAAATTTAGGGGCATGCAGCACCTGAAATTTACTAAGCCTTGCAAATCTAAAGTTTTTATGATAGAAGACTTTAAAAAAATAATGTTTGGGCTAAATAAAGGAAACTGATAATCTTAAAGCCACGCAACATTAACATGCATCACTCTTAGAGAACACTCAAATCAGCCTTGTTTCTTGACACTTTTGATACCCTTTTAGCCAAGTTATAAACACATCTGTAATAAGCCTCACTACAACCACTGTGCATAAATGTGTATGGGTGTGTCGTCATACACCCTTGTGCAATTCCATATTATATAAAAAAACCACAGCTAATGAAGCCAAGCTGTAAAATACAGATGCACCGCAGGAGTTTCCTTAAATAAGGCTTAATTTTGTCCTGACTGCACATAAAAAAGAGACACACATAAAAAAACATGAAAATATTAAAACAGTACAGTTTTCTTACATCAGAAAACAAATATTTTAAACATTCAAATAAATAGCCATTAAATACCGATTTTATCTCCTTTTAGAAATACTTTTCTGAAGTAACTGACACTCATTTCCTGCTTTTAACAGATTTTCTTCTGTTCAAAGATAAACTGCAGAGTAAGGCATCAGTATACTCTTTTCGACTTAACATCACCTTTAAAAATACTCATACTACACTATACTTCCTTTAACAGAATAATCTTGACTCAAGTTTTCTGAGGAAGCATGTATTTGAACAGGTAACAACAAACACATGCTTATATATAGTTAATAAAACATGCAGTCTGAAACAGCCTGGATCTTTTATTCTTTATTCGTAAGTATTCAAATACTGTAACTATGTGAAATAATTTATGAAATTTCCAGTTTTCACTCAAAACTCTAATCAGAATACTGAAAACTCCAATCAGAATAAGAAACCTCATGTATTTGGTGCAGCACTGGAGTCATGAAATGGAAAGGCGGTAAGCTTACGCAGAATCTGTGACAAAGTAAGAAGGTATTTTCCAGCTCTTAAGAATATCGTTTTGCTACTGTAACTTTATTACTTCATTCAAAACACCATAAAGCATAGGTGTACTCAACCATCCCCATCCTCCCTTCCCACCCACAATTAACAGTGGTGATGATGAAAATAATGACAGTTGCAGCAAACTTCTATTTCAAGTCCTTAGGCAAGTGGTCTGCTTTTTGCCTGCACACCACAGGAGTTGTTACGAGGTCCACCGCCACCAAGCTACCTTCATTCTGTCCCACACAGCCGAGAGAGAGTCAAACGCGGGGCGAACGTCCAGGATAGTGAACTGGTAGTTCTTATCTACTGCTCCACCATCATAGTAATCGATAACATCCCGCCCTTCTTTTCCACATCGGTCAACAATCCAGTCATGTCTGTCAAAGGGAAGTTCATATCTGGAAAGATAGATAATAAACCATGTAGATATTTTAATGGATATTATGAACCTGGGAGAAGGAGTGGAAGTCCAATTTATTTACCTGGATACTGGCTTAAGATCCCCACTAGTAATTCTATCTTCTAGTAATTATAACTTGCAATTCCAGTTCTGAAACATCTTAAAATTAATTCTACGCCATGTTTCCAGACACGTCTGCCTACCCTCCCACCTCACTGGACAACCTTCTTTCCTGCCCACGTACCCCATCCATGAACGTATTCTGGCTCTTGGTGAATATTCCTTTGCTTTGCCTCCAAACCGCATCAGCGATGGTCCACACGGACATTCCCTGTGCACACAAACAAAAAAGAAAATAGCTTTTACTGTTTAAAACAGTCTTGGTTTGAATGTTTAAACCACTATGCTAATTTGTTTTAGTAGTAGAAAAAAATAATAGGAAAAAAAAGCAATATTAAAAAATTGATTACAAGTGATCTAAACCAGCCTCTTTTTAAAAAAAAAAAAACAAAACAAAACAAACAAAACATTTGAAAAGTCTCCCATCTTCTGACTGCACTTACTGCTGGTATGATAAAGTACCTTTGATATGCTCCATACTGTTGTTCCAACTTACCAATAGAGCAGTTCTCTACAAATCTAATCCACAGATTTAATAGACTGAAGAACAGAAAACTGTAATCTGAACTACTGTGTAACAAATATAATGGGAGTTTCAGAGAACAGTTTCTACATAAAGAATGCTTAACTACTCTGTCCCTTCTAGGAACAGAGTCTACATTGACTTAAAAAGTGACAGTCTAAGTTTAGATCTCATTTTGTTTGTAACATCAAGATTTCAATTAAGTAATTCCCAAAGAGATACACTAAGAAGTTAATTTCTCCAGGTCCGCATTATATACACACACTACCAAAATGCTCATTAGTTTTATCAACATAATAATTATTCAGTTCTTGTTCAGCTCTTCTGGCTAATATTCCTTCCTATTAATCAAAAAGCAGGTTCTTACAAGACCATAACTTTCAGAAATATCAACATCAGAATATTTCTGTGAAAAACAGAGACACTCAACTTTCAAAGAATTACAAAAGCAAGAGCTAAGTCGAAGTATTTGGTTTTCATTTCATATACACATACACAGCATGAAGCGCTTCCCACTTCAAAATCTCCTTCCAAGCTTGTTCATTATTTTGGTTGTGAATCTTAATAATGTTGGTCATATCTTCCCCTGTTATGTCATCGTCTTTCCACCTCCACCTAAAAAAATAAGAATTTGAAAACAGTTTGCAAGCATTACAGCATAACTGCTCCACCTTCCTCAGTTCATCTGATGGGCTTGTGAATCGAGACAAGATTTTATGCAAAGACACAAAGCAAGTAAGGAAGCTTCTGGTTCATCTGCTTATGCATCCTGAGAAGCACTTCATTTTCTGTGTAAAAGTACGATTATCAAAGCTATCATCACAGAGACCCACAAATTCTAGTTAGTTAAATCAACACCTTAACTGGATCAGAAAGTTATCAGAGTGTGCAAATATCAGCCATCCACAGTATTCGTAACAATGCTTAGGAAAAATCCCACTGGCATTCCTAATGCACAGAAGTCCTGTAGTTAATACGTTTTGCACACACCTTCGAAATCCCTTTCATCTCTCTGACCCCGCACTATGACTACACGAGTGCTTCCTCTTCAACCAGAGTAACACTGAACACATGGAAACTTATACTGTGAATTCCATGAACACATGGAAACTTATACTGTCACTTTAGAGGATGGGCATGAAGTTGACTGCATTTGAAAGCTGACAATCATGCCATGTTTGTCTATGTCTATGCACTGACTTTTAAGAAAAATTTCTTGTCTAGTGGCAGTTGCCTGACGTTTCCTACCACCTTGCTGATCTCAAGGAGACACGGCCTTTGAGACTGCCTCACTCTTTAAAACAAAACTATTCATAAAACTAGTAACTTTTAAAAGAGCGAGTTAACTATTTACTGCTTACGGCGCACGAACTCTTAAGATGAGTAATAACTAATGATATTAGCTCATGAATTTCAGGCTCACAAACTTCATCTGATAGTTCATAGTGTACTTACCCTTTTCTTAGCATAGCGTTCCAGAACATTTGCTCTGAAGGATAGACCCATTTCTTGTCAGAGTGTGCTCTAGGAATTGAAGATTCTTCTCTAACAGTTGACAATGGAAATGGCTGGCCAGGGGACGGCTGCTGATTGGGAGGAGGCATCTAGAAAACAAGGAGAATCAACAACTATAGTACGAAATTTTAGAGCATTTGAGAAAAATCAAAGCATAATCAATTCGCTGCTGCCAAGATTATGAAGTTCAGCCTTCATTTAAGTCCACCAAAACTATAGTTCTCTTTTGCAGCAGAATTCTGAAGACTGAAGGATCCCTTTTGTCTAAACTTCAACTTTTGAAAGAGCATTACTTTTTGTAAATCTGAGGAAATCTTGAGAAGATCTGAATCAGAGCTTACTCGTGCTGCTATTACACAGAACCAAAAACACTAACACAACATAAAAACTATGCATGTAACTAACAAAAAGAAATATACAGCAAAATACATTTATGACCTTTTATCTAAAAGATGCAGGAGAGAATGTTAAAATGTAACTTGGTTTTATACAAATATTTGCACACAAACCGAGAAAAAGCAGTGTTAAAAATTAAAAAATAACATTAGGTGCCAGAGTTTCCACCTTATACAGTATCATTGCTTACACTCTGGGGATAGTATTTCAGAAAAAACAAGAGATGGCAAAAGTTACCATATTGCTAGGATCTATGTCATCTTTCATTTGAGATGAACCAGACTTCACTGGACATTCTACAAATTCATAAGCCCTTTCTTGATGTGCAGGAACATCGTCTGTGTTCTCAGTTCCATGATCAGGAGTCTTCATGTGCATTGGACAACCTGAAATATAGGAAACAACAGTCTGTATTTTCCTACAAAATGAAGACACTAAGACACGACAGGAAATGGAAACCTGTTCATTGAATGCCCATGTAAAAACAAGCCGGTATTTCACTTTTTCTTTTGAGCTTTGCACCAGTTTTACCTCTTTTTTTTCCAGCACTATGTGAATACCTAAGTTTCTTATGTTGTCCTTGAATCCTCAATCCTCACCCCATGCTGGCCCCTACACTGAGCTGTTTGTACTCAAAGGTTTTCACAGCAATGTTAATCCAACATGTGTTGACCATGTCAGCAGAAGAGCCAATGCCTTCCTTCTCCAGACATTTTATCTTATTCCACCCCTCTGTTGCCCTTTGCCAGATGCACGTTGTCTAGCAACAACCACCCGCTCCCAGTTACCATCTGTGTAAGGGCACCTGCACGTCCGTGACCCTCTGTGTGTGTTACCACTCGGTGGGAACAGATCTCCAAGACCCCTCTAAAATGTGATGACCGGGAGTGACCTGCAGGTTCTACCGCAAGCACTTACTGTCTCTATTGACAAGGCAGCTTGCGTGCTGTTCTGGTGAACCACTAACTCCTTTTCATGAAAAGTTACCTGAGAGCTCCTTTTGCTAAAGGAAAAACTGAATTTTTTATTTAGAATATTTTTTTTCCCAAAAAAATATCTTTCATCCGTCTTCCATGTAAGGAGTTTATTCCATTTAAGTTTCAAGAATCATTACCGCTCATTTTTTCCTGATGCATAGAACATTCTGAAGGTGGCGACGCCGGCTGATGTTGCTCGGATGCACTCAGCGACTGACCTGCCGCAGCTGGGGAGGACGCAGACAAACCCATGGCTCCTGCACACCACGTCTTCTTAGAGCGAGCTTCTAAAGGAAAAAAGCCAAATAAATACTCGTAATACAGCTGGTTACTTATTAAGGTGAATGCAAGTTCGGCTATGTTGCTGAACCACGAGTTAAAAAATAAATACAAATAAAGAACGGGCCGAAAAAATAAACATCCGGCTT